TGTGTGTGTGTGTGTTTGCGTGTGTGTGTGCGTGTACGGTACTTTATTGCTTTCCTCCCTCATGTTTTTGGTGGACATGGGGGGGTTAGTGGCGTATAGTTCTCGAGATCGATCACTTGCTGAGCAGGTCACAAAATTTAGGGGTTTATCGATAATCATCACAGTGATTATTAGTCTCTGTGGTCGTGCACGGAGCAGAAGGAACAACTATGTGCAGTTTCTGAGTGCATCTTACTCAGAAAAACTCTAGATGGGTTCTCTGGCTCTTAAAGCACAGCTAGCAATCCGTAGCCATATTGTGTGGTGCTTGAACGCACCTTTTTAAATTTTGTAAAAATATCTAAGCTCATCAGGTTAAAGGGCACAGTGGAGACCTTAATATACGCTCGATAGACGTAGAGGACTGTCACTAACAGTTTGTCAGTGATTTATTTTAATCATCTTACCTCCTGGTAGCAGAGATTTCAGTGGATTTCCCTTCCGACTAACCATTAAAGTGACACACTTCATGTCACTTCCATAAGTTTGCACTGTTTTTTCATACATTTTCCTCTCATGAGTGTCAGTAATGTCTTAAATTGAATTAAGGTTTCAGACTTTTTTTGCCACAGATTGTTGCACAATGACTCGTCACAGAAATTCTTTTGAATCTCCAGCGGTTCCTGTGAAGTAAATAGAAGGGAAATCCATGTATTGCAGAAGTGTTGCGTCGTGTTTTATGATATATGATTTTATTAGGTTCCCCGATTAGCTGATGTCGAGCATCTGTTGCTCGTCCTGGTTCCTCTTTCCGTCTTAATTGTGGAACTTAATCTATCAAACTTTGAAGAAAACAGTATTTGTTTCATATATTTCAGGTACAAGAGGATGACTCATTGTTGTTTTCAATAGTGCTGATACAAAACCTAAATATATGTTGATGTGGAAACATTCACCTGTTTGTGTGGAGGCATGAGTGCGTGGATGCGGTGGCACAGGTCAGGGCAGAAGGCCCCACTAACCATCCTCAGTGACAAGCAGGACACCAGTGTCCATCTCTGGCACACTTCACACGTGCTGTGTCTTTGTTTCCTCTACGTTTATAATCCAACCTCTTTAAAAATGATCTGTTTAACAAACCTTTCCTCCATTCGGCCACCTCCTGCTGTGTGGAAGTGTGTGCACTTTTGTGCATCAGCGGCCCCCAACCTGCATCAACCTGCAGTGCGTATAGATTGGATAATAGTGTAGGGCGTTGGTGTGCGGGTGTAGGGGTCAGTGTGTGTATTATTGGCACGAGTTGCAGATATGAAACCCCCACAGGGTCATTGCGTGGCCCTGCTGCTTCACTGCAGTTAGCCTCATGAACCCAGGCGACCTCTCACCCCTAACCTCACTCGCTGGATTGACGTTTTGGCCCTCCTGCTGAGGCAGTTGGGCACCTTCTTGCTATTCTCAAAGTAAAAGCAACAATAGACATTTTTCATTCATGCATTGCTACAAATGATTAAATATTCATTTACTTATGTCTTTATTTTTCTTTGTTTGTGTTCTTTTGCACAGGTGCCAACCCCCTGCACACCAATGGTTTGGGACACACTGCAAGGGCCTATGCGAAGGAGGGAGACGTGAGCACAGTGCTGCTGGAGTGGGAGGGAAAAGTAGGAAACACACACACACACTTTGTTCTGCTTCCGTACGAGCTGTGCAGATTGTCCAAGCAATTAAAACAACATTAGTTTCTATGCAAACGCATGTGTTGATACAGAAGTTGTTTCCTGTGGCCTGGTCTAAACGACTCGGCACAATTCACTCAGCAGACATCTGTGTCATTTACTTGCCTTGTGCAAACAGACACGCTCTCATCAGGAGGTCTGTGTCAGTGTGCTGACTGAGTGACAGGTGCTATTGAGTATTAGAGATTTGGAAGCTGGTGGAGGTTAACCGGGGTTAAAAACCTGCTGAAGAACAAAGACAGTATATAATATCAACTACATGTATTATCAGACAAGTCAGGATTTCGGTGGTAATATTGTGTCATAAGCTGCTTTCAGACATGCACTGAAGTCCAGACATGTTCCTGAAACTTGGGTGAGCGATTGGGTGTGTTTCTGACACGCAACAGACGCAAAACTGGAAAAATACAAAAATCTCAGGTTCAGTAGATGATACAGACGTAGATCAGCTTGAAAAGAAAGAAGAGATTGGAGAGCTTTGGATGATAAAGACAGAGGAAGAGGAAATTCTACGTCATGTCCTGCCTCCTACATTTTCCTGTTGTTAGAACACATCTGACCCGAACAATCTCCTGCTGCGTTCTTCATTCATTAAAGGCAAACTACGGAACATGTTCAGACCCATTTTTCTGAACATTTTCTAGATTTCATGTCTGAAAATAGCTTTATAGAAGCTTATGCCCAAATCTCCTTTAATTATGATCCCAGACACATACCATTACTTCTCCTCGGTTTTCTTATATGACCATATTGGCGCACCATATTTTATTAATATCTATAATGATGCAGACAAAGTTTGTGATGACTTTACAGGACACATACCAACAACACTTTGACCAGATGAACCAAGTCTTCTTGTCTTGAAACATAAACACCTCACAGAGCTTTGAAATTAAAAGCGTATTGAAATATGGTGAAGGCAGTCTTAAGATTTCATGGGTTTCTAACAGGACAAACAGAGGACTGAGAGGTCTTCCTCCTCTTGGTATTTTACAGGTTTATAGTGCTATAAGTGGGGTCTGCTGTTTTCTTAAATCAAAGTTGAATTATCTGTAGTTATCCAGCAGCTTGACAGCAGGCTGGAGATAAGCAAGATGGAGAGAGAGAATAAACAGGCGGCCTCCACTGCAGGCTGAAAACCTGGAGTCTGAGGACACAAAGAGGAGAGGATGAATGAGGCATGGGGCTGGTTGCAAGAAAGAAAGAAAGAAATAGGGAGCAAGAGAAAGAGGGAAGGAAAAGAAAGTGGAGAGAAAAAATAGATGAGCGAAGAACGAAGGAGAAGAGGATAGAGATCAAATCAGCAGAAGAGAGGAAATGGGTGTCGGAGAAAGGAAGGCAAAGGCAGATAGAGAGGAATGTGTTAAAGAGGAGGAAGGCAGGAAGCAGATAGCTGCTGGAAAATGGAAAGCACATTTCGGAGTGATGGAGAGTAAATAGAATTTTAGAGGAGGAACGATGAGCATTTTAAAAGTTTTGTTCCTCAATTTCATACTATGTGGTGAGGAAATTTGGATTTATTGGATTTAATAATTTTTGCCTAAGTCACAAATATCTGACTATACACACTGTGAACTCTTTAGTCACTGTCATAATTATGAAATGACTACAAAAGGTACCTTATATATATATTAAATAGCTACGTTTTGTTCATGTCCTGTATATAAAGGTGGGCGACATGGCAGCTCCCAAAAGTGAATCATTAAAAATGTAGTGAAACGTTATGATTGACAGCAAAGACTGACTCACATTAGTCAAGTGAGTGTATCGGTGGGACCTCAATATCACGGCTCCACCCCCTGATCGCTACAGCGCAGACTAAGACTATTTCCAAAATTACTCACTAATATTATATAGTCCACTATAAAGTGAGTTCACCATTTTGTAGTGCAGTCTGAATGTTTAGCGACACATTCTATACCTTATATAATGTATTCAAAAAGAGAAACCATGCTATTGTGCTTTGATGTGTTTATCATCCCACAGATGATAACTTTGCACAAATGGTTCCTCAGCAAAGCTCATACATCAGATTATGTGTTGCAGCAGTACATCATCAGTAGAATAAAACTAACCTGTGTAAGAACTTGTCTTTGTCACAGTGGGTACAAACTGTGACCTTACAAAAGGTGGTTTAGCAAACAAAGGTGATGATGAAGAGGTGAAGGAATAAGCAGAGACTCCTGCAGACGCTTTCATGTTCTCATGTTGGATTTTCAGAGTTGATTTCATACACGGACCATTTTAATCACCTTACGCCCCCTAAAATGTTTCCCTCCTGCTCTTGATTCATTGACTGTCTTCTTCTTTTCTTTATTTTTATCTCCATCTAGTTCCAGGAGGCACAGGCTCGACGGGAGGCAGAGGAGAGGAGGAGGTTCCCCCTGGAGAGGAGGCTGAAGGAGTACATCATCGGACAGGAGGGGGCCATCAACACTGTGGCCTCAGGTAAACACAGGCAAACAAGTAGACACACACGTAACATATATGCATGCATACACATTTTTAAACCGTCCTCCTCCTCTTTGTTACCGAGCCTTCTCTTTATTCCCCCTCTCTTTTGCAGTATGTTCCTGTTTTCCGCTGCCCTCTACTTCCTCTCCTCCCCTCTCCTCCCTTCCTTCCAGCAGTAGGCGGGTTCAGACAGACCAGCGGAGGCTGTAATTGGTTAATTGTGATGAATGAGCTGTCTGTCAGGCATACACAGGTGCTGTGTGCATATGCGTGTGTGTGTGTGTTTGTGTGTGTGACAGTTGAAGAGGCCAGGCTTGGAGCCGCCAGTTAACACGATTACAGAGAGAGGAGACATACTACAGACCCCCTCCCCACACTCATCCCCTCCTCCTCATTTACTTTCCCCATCTTTTCTCTCCTCTGTTTCTCCTTCCCTCTCTACCTCTGTACCCCCTCGATCTCAATCACACCCACTCTTTCTGCTTCACCCTTCTATCCTTTCCTACTCGCACTTTGTGGCCTTTGCACACCTCCTGAATCTTTCCATCATCGTCCCTCCGCGCTGTGCTGTCCATCCCCTGCCCAGAGGCAGGACTGGACAGCAGACAGGCAAAGTGATGGAGACAGAAAGCGAAAAAACAGATGAGCCCAGTGGGAAAACAAACAAAGAAGAAAAAAAAGAGACGAGTAGATAAGAGAGAAGGAGCTGAGAACCAGGAAGCTCAGAGCGTTGACTGAAAGACAAAGAGAGCGAGTGAAGTGCACAGAGACGAGACGAGGAGGGAGGATGAGTTAGAGCACAATAACACAGCAGACAGTAAAGAGTTGATATTACACCAGGCATCCATGGAGGCCATGTATTGATCCGCTCCCTCTCACTGTGTGTGTGTTTGATTGTGTGTGTTTGTGTGTGTTATTTTTATGACGTTGGATGTTTTCTGTTTAGATTTGTGAAAATAATCAGCTCTCTCCCAGAGCAATAAGCAAATATAATCTGTAATGAGTTTACAGAGCAAGTTGGATTTTAAATTTTTGCTCTGAAAGTCAAAATACTTCATCAAAAAATAATAACTACAAATCTACACATGGAAACTACTACTTCTCTATACACCAGAAAACATACAGACTGTATGCAAGAAAGAAGAGAGAATCATGGGACTTGTAGTCTTTGGCAGGGTGATGACTGATTGTTGTTATCATGGCAAATTGTCCTGAAAGCCATAGAAGACATCGCCACGGTGATAAAGGAACAGCTTATTGATCCCCGAGAAGTATTACAGTGAATATATCACACACACACACACTGGGAGAGGGAGTGAGAGAGCATGCGGGATGCCTAAAAGAGGCCGAGGCAGACAGAGCATCTATCTGCAGACCTATACAAAAACACACAGTATCTGCAGTACAGTTATTATCATGTTTCGTTTTCTTTTGTCAGTTTTAAATCAAAGGTGAGTGAGGCAGGAATCCAAATGAGGCAAACTCTGACAGTGGAGGAGAGGGAGCAGAGATTGAGACATGAGGAGATGGACCTGGAAAGAGGGGAAGGGATATAACTGGTAGATAAGAACACGGCAAATGAGAGAAGGATGTGGAGATAAGGACAGAAAAGAGGCGCTTCATAGGCGCAGACCAGCCATAAATGAGAATGGCATTCAGTAGAGGATATACCCAAGGCCCAACAGACAATTTTATTCAATCAAGCTGCACTACATTTTAAACACTCATCGATATCAGTCCTCTTAATGTGGCTGATTTTTTAAGCAAGAACCACAAATTATTGGTGAAAATATTGAAAAATGTCCTGGATCTCCACCGAAATTCAATGGGTTCGTCCCAGAGTCATACTGCATCCTTTAAAATGTAATCTTGCTTAAAAACCAGCAAACAAACATGAACAAAACATAATTTACTAGGGGGAGGTAATGACACCATATTTTTAATCTGTAATGATGAGCAGAATAGAATTGGAACAAATTATATAAGGGTTTGATGTTTCTTATGTTAAACTTCGTTGTGTTTGACCTGAACTCCTCAAGATGAGGAGCCGGCCTGCTGCAACACACACACACACACACACACACACACACACACAGGAAGGGGGTTAGATTGATCCAGGTTTAGCTCTCAGGGCTAAGAGTTATTGAAGAGAATCATCCCTCTGTAATCATGTTAGAGCCAACCAGACCTGCCCAATGCACACTGCTCTGAGTGTGTGTGTGTGTATCTGTGTTGGTGTGTGTGTGTGTGTGTGTGTGTGTGTGTATGTATGCATGTGAGAGAGAGACGGAGCTTTCATTTGTTTCGTGTCTCCTTCCTTTCCTTGTTGTTGTCAGGCTCCTCTGAGAAATGTCAGTGTGCCCTTCTGTCAAAGTCGCTCTCAATCAGCTAAAACACACAGAAGGTTACGCTGTCATTCACACGGCCATTGATAAAGCAGACTGGGCTTTGGAGCCCCTCTTGTCACTATTCATCTCTGACACACTTGTTTGTTTCTCTGCCTCATTCTCCCTCTCCTTATCATCATCACTCCTCTCTCTTTTCCCTCTTTATCTCCTACATCCTTGCTCCTCTTCCCTCTCCTAATCTCTGTTCCTCCCTCTCCACCATGTCATCTCTCCACCTCCCTCATTCGTTCCTCTCCTCTCTCTCCTCCTGCCAAGCTTCTGATCCTCATGTTTTTATCAGCTATTAGTAGCTATAGTTTAACACTCGGATCACATTGTCTTAGCTTCTCGGCCACAGCAGTTTACAGTGAGAGAACGAGAAGAGGATCAGGCATGTAGTTATTCTTTGACGCAGAAATGAAACCAGTTTCGGTGCTGACATTTTTCTGAATGCACTTGATAACTTGCCAGGATATTGAGACCTCTGAGCCTCATTGTTTAAGATCATAATCTCAATTTGTGTTGCAAAGTGAGATATTTATGCAAGACCTTGTGAACCTTTTGCAACCCTAAAGCATGAAAAGACAATGACAAGTCCTTTTTCACTAGGCCCTGTCTCCCTACACGAAACATTTGTTCATTTCAGTATTTAAGAATTTTGTTGATACTCTTTTCTGGGTTGTGTGTTGTGTATTCTTTTACAGAAAGTTTGTGTTTGTGTAGTTCTGTCTGTGATGTTTGGTTGCTGTTTTGCCAGTGGGGTCAGATCAGCAGGTCGATCAGGGAGAGTGACAACAGGTTTGCATGATCAGGGCTCTGAGAGAGGAGGGGCTGGGCAGACTCAAGGTGACAGAGAATGGGTGAAGTGTCCTGAATTGGATTATATGTTATACATGATGTCAACCTATTGCATGTTTCTTCTGTATTTGTGCAGATAGATTGAATTGTGAGGTCAGCAGTAACTCAGAGTCCAAACTTGGTCTTGTGTTGAGTGTGGTTTCTACTTGTCTTTCTGTTTAGCTCATCCTATACCTGCCAGCTCAGTTGGTAGGGTCCAGGCAGGTGAGGCTATAAAACAAAATGCCAGTCAGTAGTGAAGGGGGGTTGGCTGCTTGATGTGAGGCTGCAGATGTTTCTAGTTTTGTTTCCTTTTGCTTTCTCTTGTTTGATTTACTTGTGTTGACTTTCCCAGGGATCAGTTTGTCTTTCTGTTGTAATACCTGCATATTTTTTTCACCTCCTCGTGCTTTCTCAGTATTGCTCTTTTTGCAAGTTTTCAGTGCCAAATAGTGACCTCCCCCCCAATCTGGGGGTTATGGTGCTACAAACACATAGAAGTGAAAGGCACATTTTAGCAGCCTGAACCATCCCCAGTATTTCTAGGTCATGGCTTTTACAAGGGTGAATCTCATTTATCTGATTAAAACAGATTTCAAGATGTAAAAATCCTGAAGGACCGCAAAACACACCTAGTGTTGGAAACACGTAGGCCTGGTACACGTTGCATCAATATACCATTTTTATGATGTCTGTGGTGGCAGTATTAACATGACCAACACTGTGGGGGGGGGGGCAACCATACTCACCATCCTGTGAGCTAGCGCCTTAGACAGAGGCTGGAGTCCTCTTGCAGTGGCCACAGGGTTTGTTCCAGCCCTTTGCTAAATGTCTTCCCCCCTCTCTACCCAATTTTATGTTTATTATTTTATCAATATCAAATTACAAACTAGATTTGAACTATAATTCGAATTACAATAGCCCCAAGTATTCATGAACATCATTTGTTGGTTTGATGGAAATAGAAACAATTTAATTTGGTTGAATATTGTGTTCCAAACCACCAGAGTAAAATCATTTAACTGTATGTTGTGTTTATAATGGAGATAATGCAGATTTTTATTTGTAGATGTGAAGAAACAACAATGTAAAAACATACAGACACTGATCCACCTCAAGAGGAGGAAACAAATTGAGAAGGAACATTTAAACAACAGCAACATATCAACACTGTTCTTACAAAGGAAACATTGGATCCTGTAGATTCCCAAAGATTAATCCCATTATGTAAAAACTGGGAAAATTATCATAGTAACTGCTCTCACAGCTCTGCAGCAGCATTTCTGCCAACCTCAGCTGCACCGAGAGTTATTGAGCAGAGTGTACTTCATTCCCTGAAGAATGAAATCAGGTTGCATCTGTCCTTTATCTGTACCTGCTCTTCAATGTGTGCAGCAGAGCCTCCCAGCTTCCACAGGCAGGATGTACAAAGGAGTAACACTCAGACATTTTCTTACCAATGAGAAATGTAGAGTTTCAAGTTAAACTAAAATAAAAGTGTTTGGAGTGTGTAAGGAAACACAATGAAAGAAGGTTTCTGTAGGGCACAAACAAAGACAAATTCAAACCTGGGAACTTTTTTTCTCGAGGCAGCATCACTGACCACTGAGCCTCTGTGCCACAGCTCTGATCTCGGTGGCTCTGTTCACCGTCGTCCTTGGTTTTTGGCCTCGGCCTCCTAACAGGTTCAGATTTGGACGAGTTTGTGCTCGTGTCTCAGCTTCTTTGGTGAGCGGCTGAAACCTCGGCCAAATACACTCTTTGCTCGTCTCCGATCCACCTCATCATCTTGTCTTTGTGTATGTGTGCGAGGGTGGTTGCTGGGGTGATGGCAGGGTTGGGTAGGCACTCCTCTTTAAGCGAGCGTGTGTGCGTCTGTGTGTGTGAGGCTGCGATCCATGCTAAACTGATTTCGCCATGGCCGCGCCAGGGAGGCTAACACAATTACTGCTGGCTAATGGCCCCACTGACTGAAGGGGGGAGGATTGTGGGCAGCTTTCTGGAGGTCTCTCATCTCGCTCTCTCGCTCTGTTTTCTCTCGTCTTTCTATTTTTTTTTCCTCCAAATGTCTCTGACCCTTTTCTCATCCCTGCCTTCTCTCTCTTTTATTGTAGTTTCTGGGATACCCGCTGCCCTCGGGTCAGCCTGGTCCAGTTGGGTGAAACTTGGATCATGTCGCGCAAAAGCAAAGTCAACAAATGCAAATGACGGAAATAATAGCCTCCCTTTCTTTTCTTTCTCTGTCTCCCTGTCTGTTCGCTCTTCAGCCATCAGGAGGAAGGAGAATGGTTGGTACGACGAAGAGCATCCTCTCGTGTTCCTCTTCCTCGGTTCATCAGGAATCGGTAAATCACTCTCTCATCTCGCACAACCAACTCTTCCTCTTTGTTTTGGTCTCATGAAGTGATGTAAAAAGGAAAAATACTCTTCGGCTTTGCTAAAAGTCGCTGCCAAAATAAACACTTGAGCGAGTGAAGTTTCTTCTGAATGATCATAGAGTGAAGTGTATTCTCTTGCTGCCAAACACATTGATTTAAATGAACAAGAATACACAAGGCTACAAAGGAAAGTGTCACGTTGTAAATGTAAACGCACATTTGAGAAGCTTGACACACTATTCAGTAAATGAATTTGTCTACAAGGTGTCAGAATTTATTTTGTGAAGTAATTGTAGGAATAATTCAAAAACAACACTATTGGATGACATTGAAAAACATTCATGATCCCCAGAGGATGAACACCACCACCTTTGATGAACCCTTGACTTTTCCTCGAGTGCTATCATCAGGGCAAATATGTTTATTGTGTTAAATTTTGTGTATTCATGGTTGCATGCATTTTAACATATGATCATTATCAGTTATTATGAACAGTCACTGTGAATGTTATCGATTTTTAAATTTGTCATACTAGGCAACAGCTTGACAGTGTCACTCAATTCAGTCCGGGCCACAAAGACTCAATTGGTCTGGTTGTTTTTTAATCAGTTTCCTTCAGGGAACAATAAAGTTTATCAATCAGTCAATCTTCTTAAAACCAGGCTCCTTGTGGTTGATATTAAAGCAGAACTGGTAAGTATCATGTAGTTATACACAACAAAGATAACAAAGTCTTCACAGTGCTTCACATTACACACAGATCCTTGGGAATGATAGTAAAAAAATGGGATGTGTGTGTGTTTTCTGGAAGATGAATATCAGGACTAGTTTGGGCTTTTTATTTGATCAGTATTTGGCTCCATAAAGTCCCATCCATTTCCAATACTCCATTAATTGAACACATTGAACTCTATGTACACACGCCACCATCAGAAACACGCCCATGTACAAAACAATCAATGTTGAGTACAAGTGGACGTAGCCAACGTAGGTGATGATGACAGGACGTATGTCATTCAAAATGTGAAACCAAAACTAACAAATCAAATGTAAACAATGTGATATAGACATGAGGCCTGAATCAGAATTTCTGAAAATCTGTGTAGTCAGGTTCAGTATTTAAAGGACCGAGCTTGGGTCCTCAGTTTACACGTTCACAAGTAGCAGGAAGAAGTGTGTTCGAGTGAAGGCAATAAGGAGACGGAGGAATATTATGGGATGAGATAGATGGCTAAAAAAGGAGAGAGATGCTGAAATGACAGGCCAGAGAGATAGATGAAGGAGCGACGGTGTTCATATTCTCTGTTGCCTTCAGCGACAAACAGTGGCCATCAGACAACAATATTAAACACAGCAACAAGACGCATACACACACACACACACACTCATCACACCCATATGCATACCAAACGCAGGACATCAATATCGTATATGAGCATTTATATGCAGAATATTTTACCGACAAACATAATGTGTTCTTCTGGAGAGCTGCAGATGATTGAAAGCTTGGTAGAGGGAGGCTGTGGGATTTAGGCCAGCACTTAGAGAGCGAGAGAGATCGTCTCTCTGTCTGAAGTCGGTGGGACTTCCTGAATTCTCTGCATGCTGATGTATGAGAAAGAGCACGGACCGTCTGTTTAGGTTTTAAGGGACTTTTGGACCCCCAGACAAAAGGGACCTGGGGGGGCCTACACAGTTGTTGTTGCTGTGGACGAGCATAATCAGCTGATCTCGGGGGGGCATTTCAGCTCGCTCTTGAGGCTCCAGGCAATTTGCCTTCTTTGCTGACCCTGTTGCAACGCCCCTGTCTCTGCCAAGGAGGTTGTTAGTTTGTCAGCAGGATTACACAAAAAATACTGAACAGATTTACACAAAACTTGTTGGAAGGATGTGACCAAGAAAGAACCCATTGACCTTCGGTGCAGATCCAGGATTTATTTTCACTTTTGCAACATTGAGATTGACATATACACCAATTTCTCAAGAGATAATGATTATTGGATCTTGGGATCTTCAGGAACATTTAAAAGACTGATATCTATGATGCAGATTGATTCAAGTGGACTGTTGGGCCTTGGCTGAGTTATGTGCTCTACTGAGTGTCATTCTACAGAATAAGAGAACGGGAGCAGCGGCTGAAACTGAATAATTACATCATGTCTCTGTTTTGTCTTGTTATTCGATGTGTCACAGGTAAGACGGAGTTGGCCAAACAGGTGGCCCGCTACATGCACAAGGACATTAAAAAGGTGTGTGATGTACACACACAAACACACAAACATACGCACACATACATTCTAGTCTATTTAATCTATCTATCTTTACAGAGAAAAATTTAAATACAACAAACCAGGGACAGAAAATAATAGAGCAAGAGTAGAAATTCTAGATGTGGATAACAATGTGATGTGTAACTGTGTATTTTCAGGTGTTTTACCATTTGAATCAATAGGTGGACACCAGGTCGTCTTGCTGATATAAAATACTTATAAGACATTTAATTTAATAGCTCTTCCCGTCTTGAAGAAATGACAGACAATTCACTTAGTGTTGGTTTCCACGGTAACTACATTCAACCCATTCAACCGGGCACAACAGAAAAACACACACACAATACGTACAGCGGTTTGATGGGAGGGTTAATCCATGGTGTGATTGCAGGGTTTCATCCGTATGGACATGTCGGAGTTCCAGGAAAAACATGAGGTAAGATACTTGTTACCTGTTATAAATACACGACAGGGACAACATTAAGCAGCTAAAGGTTCTTCGTTCTGAATCACACACATTTAGGTGAATAAGTCATTAATTTCCGACGAGAGCGGAACTGTTCCATCGCTCGGCTCAGTCATGAGTCATGACTTCAGATTCATTCTCCTTCCCATATTGAATGCAGTTATTAAAATGAATGTTTTTTTTACGTTTTTACACTTTTATGTGAAGCATTGAGGATGATTACACTCAATCTGAATCAGTTACATTATGTTGTGAAAATAAAGATGTGAAGGATCGCAGCAGAAGACAACATTTTTAGGAAGAGCAGAAGGAAACATGATAGGTGAAGGAGTTTTCATGTGAATCACGTGTCTGTATCAAATTGTTAAACTCATTTTGACCCGTTCTCCTTCTCTCAGGTGGCAAAGTTCATCGGCTCTCCGCCGGGGTACGTGGGACATGAGGAGGGAGGTCAGCTGACCAAGCTGCTGAAGGCGTGTCCCAACGCCGTGGTCCTGTTTGATGAGGTGGACAAGGCTCATCCTGACGTTCTCACTATCATGCTGCAGCTTTTTGATGAGGTATACAAACATAAACACACACACACACACAGATAATATATTATATCTTCGGGTTCTTGAGTTTCTGTTTGTGCAAATTGAACTTGAACAAATCCATCTCTCCATCATCCCTGCTGTCCCTCTCAGGGTCGTCTCACCGACGGTAAGGGGAAAACCATCGAATGCAAAGACGCCGTCTTCATCATGACGTCTAATGTTGCAAGTGATGAAATAGCCGAGCATGCACTGCAACTCCGTCACGAAGCTGAAGAGGTCAGCCGCAGGAAGCTGGCTGACAAGCTTGGTGAGAGAACCACAGACAAACACTCACATATTGACATTATTAAAAATACAAACACGACAAACACAGTGTTTAGTTCTTGGAGACATCATATTTCAAATCATCGTCACACAGCAACAGAAATACTTGTACATGCTCCCACATTGGGAACACATTAAAACCCAATCTGACACACTACTTTGCATTTCTATCTGTTGCTGTCGTTTAAAGATCAGCCTCATGATGGGATATGAAGTCTTTCACAGCGTCTTGCAAAATAATAGGGATCAACATTTTAGAGTTTGCCAACACGTTCCCACAAACTGTATTCGTGATTCGATGTTAAACTGTGAAGACATACAGTGAGTCGCTATCAGCAAAGCTCAGGTAATAGAAGCTGAAGCGAAATTAATGTTCTCATTGTGCTTTTCCCCAGAGGATGTACAGAAACGTGATGACGTCAAAATCTCCCGACAGTTTAAAGAGTCTGTGATTCGACCGATCCTGAAGGTAAAGCTACGACATGAACACTTCTGCACAGGGTTCTACTGGAGTTGGCCTCAGAGGCTGTACATGTCATCTTAATTGTTTTGTTCCCTCTTAGGCTCACTTCCGGCGGGACGAGTTTCTCGGTCGGATCAATGAAATTGTATACTTCCTGCCATTCTGTCACTCAGAGCTGCTGCAGCTGGTCAGCAAAGAGCTCAGCTTCTGGGCCAAGAAGGTGCGTAACATTGTGTACAGACAAATAACGAGACAGTGTGGACTTCACTTATTTTAATCTGAGAAACAAATGATCAGAGTTTGGTTTTGTTGAGCGCTGAGGTAAGAAATGTCACACAGCTCTCACAATCCTGAGAACCGAACAGACCACGATGAGGGTTATTACGATTGTTAACGATTGTTAACTTGTAGATGGATTAACAAGGTCTCCACTTCTTTGAGCCATTTTTCATGAAACATCCCAAGAGCTAGACCTCTGTGTGTCTCTGAGAGACGATCGTCCTCGGAGCAGCCGACATCTATAACCCGCGTGTCCTCCAAGCGGGGATACACCCTCATCGTGCAGCAGCGGCCGATCCGAGCTGGAACACACGCAGATCAATATCATGTGCCACCGCTACTCACTATAATGTGATTACTGTGTTTAACATGTGGAGCCTTCATCAATATTTAATTATTAATATTACAGCTGGTCTCCTGACGGCAAACATGGGCCCCGCAGGCGACTGACAGGGACCTGACTCACGACTCTCACTCAGTCCTTCTTTTATACGCTGCCGTTTGTGATGTGTGTACGTGTGTGTTAGTTTTTTAAGTGTGTATGTCTTGTAGTGTCATGTCTCTGTCTGTATGTGGCAGCAGTGCAAACGGCAGACGTCTCATCACAGAATCCTCTGGATCCATTGTTTTGTCACTCACTCATATTAAACAAATTAAATGTTTCTCATTATGATCTTACCGACCGTGTTTCTAATGTTGTAATATCAGTGTTTATGTCTCCGGAGTAAAACCTGGCATCTATTTTATTGAATGGAGCGTTAGCATCAGGAGCTAAATGAGCAGCGCTGATCACTGCTATTGACTGGTGTTTGATTAAAACGCATTACGAGCCTGTTGATTAGCGCTGGCCGACATCTTGCTTGACATTATCTCAGCTGTTGCACTTGTCTCTTTCTCTCCATCTTATTTCTCCTCCGTCTCTGACACCAACCTCTCATTAGGATTTCACTGTATAACATACTTGTCTTTTACCTTTTTTTTTTTTTTTTTTTTTTGTTTTCATTAGGCCAAGCAGCGCCATGACATCACTCTGCAGTGGGATCGCCCGGTACTGGACCTGTTGGCAGGCGGGTATAATATGCATTA